GTCATAAAAATTAAAGAAAAACAACACCTTTATCATGTAAGACTGATAATTCTCTAAGAGTTTCTTAAAATCATTCAGCCTGTTAAACAGACACTCCAACACAAAAGGCAAAATGAAGCTTTCTTGTAGCCAAAAAAATCACAAACTTATTTTAGCCACATAGTCTTCCATACCACAACTAACTAAAAAAAGATTTTGAAGCTATCATATAGAATTTTTTCTACTAAATTGTATTAGCAGGCAAAAGCTGCCTGAGTAAATCTAGTGGAAGTAAATGTGAGGATGAATGCGTTAATACATTTCTGTTACAGCTTAATTTTAAATTGCCCCAAAGGAAAACTCCCATAGTCAATGAATCCAACAGAGAAAGGAATCTACACTAGTCTTAAGACTCTGTTAACTAGAGTGCATTTCTACAGATGTATTTCCACCATAGGTCATTCTCTATGAGTCTGATTTAAAGTAAATATTTTAGAATCATGACAACATTCATGTTAATGTTAAAAATAAATTAAACTTCTGTATTGGTTTTGTCTGGGATAGTCAGATTTATTTAAAGTATCTTATACAGTATATGGATTTATGACCAAAACAGTGTTGATAACACATCAGTGGTTTAGCTGTTGCTGAGCAGTGCTTGTACAGCATGAAGGTCTTTTGTTTTTCTAAAGCTGCCCTGCCAGTGAGTAAGCTGAAGTTGCACAAGAAGTTGGGATGAGAGACAGACAGAACATCTGATCTCAACTGGCCAGCAATAAAAGGCTGGGATAAGAGGAAGGAACAGGGGAATGTCCAGAGTTATGGTACTTGTATTTCCAACTAGCCACTACATATGAAGTCCTGCTTTCCTGAAAATGTTTAAACTGTCTGATGATGGGAAGTAGTAAATGTCTTCCTTATTTTTCTTTGTTTCATGCACTGCTTTTGCTTTCCCTGTTAAACTAACTTTATCTCAGTGCACACATTTTCTCACTTTTACCCTTCCAATTCTCTTTCTTATCCCAATGGGCTGTGGGGACAAGTGAGAACGTGACTATGTGGTGCTGAGTTGCGTACCAGGGTTAAACTATAACAACTTCAAAAGAGCCACCTTATTTAGGTTTAGAAACTTAATTTAAAACAACTTTTCACTCATAAGATGGAAAACTTCACATTTTCATACTACTACAAACATTTACTGTAATCAGTGTCTTTCCTGTACACTTGGAAAAGCAGAGGCAAAATGTCAATAGATAACGTTCCTCTAAGACTGTAAGACAAAAAATAAAGGTGTTACCTTACTAATTGGTTACTGACGGTGTTCCAAAACAAATTATTACATAAGAGGGCAAAAGTCTTTGGGAACCTTCCTGTCCTTAAGCAATTTTTACCTGAGGAACCTTCCATGTAAGAGGAAGAATTTCTGCTATGTCATAGTTCCTTGCAGGCTTCTCTTCTGTGAAGCTTCCTGGGCCACCCGTGCCATTCTAGCATCCTGCTGGCAGAACTCCACTACTCTAACATCTGTTGACAGAAGAACCATAGTTCTGCGAAGTATTTTGAAGCCGTTTCCAGCCAGCTTGATTTGATGCCTCCAGTTCACTTAACAAACAGTAAAGCCCAATTTGACTTCCGTGTGCCACTTATATTTTTAAAGACCTCTGTCATAGTTTCCATCTCTTGTCCAGGGTGAGCAATACTCATCTACTTAGTCATTTTTTATGCAGAAGCTTTGTACTTTGATTGTACTAACTGACCTTTTCTAGTCCTATTATATTACTTTTAGAATGAGGATGGACAGAACATTAAACTGAATTCACAATATTGTAATAACATGGATTTATATGATAGTGTAACAGCGCAGTGTTGCTCTCAAATTTCTCTTTCTATACCAATAACTCTGAACATTTGATTTTTTTTTTTTTCTGACCAATAATGAGCACTGAGCTGATATTTTCATGATGTTGTCTTTTAAAACCCACAGATTTCATTCTGACTGATAACTATCAACTTAAAACATATCATTTCAGGTACATGGTTAGGATAGACTGCACAGTTTCAGGTTACTTTCGTCCCTATTCAATTCCATATCATTCTAATCTCTGGTCATCCCATCTAGCAAGATCCTTCTGCAGTTCTTCATTCTGGCCCCTCTATCCACACTGAACAAAACAACTTAGTAATGTTAGTACCATCTCATTCTTAACCTCTTTTTTCACATTATGTCTGAATGGATTAAACAGCATTAGTCCCAGCACAGACACCTTCAGGATTTTTCTGGTGGTCTCCATCCACTCTAAAAAACAAAACAAAGATATGTTTGTACTCTCTACTTCTTTTCTTTTAACCTGTTATTTATTTATGCAAAATTATTCCGTAATATCTTTAAAAATCTGTGATGATGGATCTCACTGAAAGACTTTCAGAAATTCAATTTGTCTGTATTAAAGCTCAGTCATAGTCATCTTAATTAATTAGGAGAAAAATTGATTCACAGTAGGTCCTGTCAGACATTACTAGAATTTAACCTGACTCGATATTTACCTCAACGAAATTCAGGATAACAGTGTAACTTGAAATCTGACTATTTAAACAGAATCCACTAAGTTTAATAGCTCCCACTCTATCTGAAGCACTTTTAGCAATAGCACTGGCTGGGAATTGCCTCCAAATATAAATGACTGTAATTCCCAGCTGCTACTAGTACTAGATATAAATCATTCAAAGTTTATGTTGATAAAAGTGGCCAAGTTATACACAATGCAGAACTTCATGCCCTAATTATCATATAGTGCCAATTTGCAAGGCCCATGTTTCAAATTCATTCAGACTTCAGGAAAGACTAGATGATTTTCATATAATTTATGCAAAATCACTTTTCAAATTATCCCAACATAGAAAGTACTTCAGAAAATAATTTTTAGAAGAAAAGAGGTGGATAAATTATCTTTTTTGAATATGTCGGAAACTCAACAGTAAATGTATTTAAAGGGAAACATATGCAGTTCAAAATTAATCCATTTAAAGGCCAAAAAGAAACAAAAAAACTTTTAGGAGTAAATGGTATCAGGAGCCAGTTATTCAAATTAAATAGGAAGATGAACAAAAAAAGCACAGGAATGTTAAGTAAAGTTTCTGTTTACACTGTTCCTCTTTAAAAGGTTTATGATTTAAGAAGAATAGAATAAGAATTCTTATATGTTTACATATCGTAAAGTCAGATTTTCTCACTGAATAGGTATTGAGGCTTCTTTTTAATATGAATGACTGTTATTTTGTGTATATATATTTTTTTTTTCAAATAAAATGTTCTTTTTCTCACACATTCTGCAAAAAACTTTGATTCTTCTTTGGAAGGATTTTTCTTTTGTGGTATTAATCTGGAAAGATATTTCATCCAAAGAAGATTATTCAACTAGGTAGGTCATAAAATATCCTTTTGTCAATCTTCTACTCCTGTCCTTTTCATACTATTCAAGCTTTCCTTTTTTTTGATCATCATTATGGTTTAAAGGACAGAGATCCCTTTTTCTGTAATACAGAACAGACATGATGTATTGACTTTTATTAGCTATCTAGTAGAAAAAAATCTACAGTATTTTTGACATATGTAGATAATTCTCCATCTGAATATTTGCTTGTCAGCTACTGAAATGCTTGCAAAACTGTCTTAAAGGAGCTGTGCATGCCTGTTAGCTTTCATGTTTTGAAATTAAAAAGGTACAGTTTAATTAAAAAAAAGTGTTGATATAGTCAGCTGTTGACTTCCTTCCTCCTCTGCCTTCTATATGGGGTTTACAAGCCCAAATGGTGGTGGTGGAATTCTGCCGGGGTGTGAGGCGGCCCTTGTGTGGGGCTGCCTCGCCGGACCCCACCGGTTCCAGCGGCTCCAGCGGCCCCAGAGCAGGGCACGACTGAGCCCCTGAGCCATGGGCGGGACGGAGAGAGCCCCGGGGAAAGCCTGGGCAAGGGAGGGCAAAACGCTGCCCGGCAGCCAGTGTTGAGGGAGGGGAACAGGGTGAGAAACAGCCCTGCGAGCCCTGAGGGCAGAGAGGGAGGAGGAGAGAAGGGGAGAAGAGACCCCGGCAGGGATGGCACTGCGGCTCCAGCAGGTACCCCGGTGGGGCGGGTGTTCCCCTGCAGCCCCTGGGAATGACCCACGTTGAAGCAGGGAAAAATGTGAGGAGGAAGGACCTCCAGAGAGGAGCTGTTATGACAGCTCCCCATTCCCCACCCTCCTGTGCCCCTCTTGGGAGAGGAGGTAGAGGAGTCAGGAGTGAAGAGATGAAGCTGAGCCTGGGAATGGGGTGAAGAAATATGTTTTTATTTGTCTAATGTGTAATATCTGTTCTGTTGTTTCCCACTACCTGTAAATATTTATTTTAATTGGTAATAAATTAATTTTCCACAAGTCAAGTCCCAGTAAGGAACCTTCCTGTCTTTATCTTGACCCAAGAGCTTTATTGTTCCTGTTTTAACTATTTCATCCCCTCTTTCTGGTGAAGGCATAGGGAACAACCAGGTAGTAGTTTGGCTTTTACCTAAGTTTAACTCCCTGTGCCTTCCTTCTTTGAATTAGCTGTAATTACTTTCGGATAGCACAGTTTTGCAGTAAAGATTACTATTAAAAATAATTTATACTGTAATGATGAAATTGGTGCAGTGTGAGAGTTCCGGGTGAAAACAAGTGGGTCAGAATTAAAAGGTGACAATCAACGTCTAGCTGTGTGCTTTCCACCTTTCAAAGTTAGGGACAAGGTGAAAATAAATGCTAGCAATAGGGAAGCAATAAGAAAAACAAATGGATGTCGCTGTCTAGGACTGTGGCGGTGTTGCTTCCACACACAGCCCTCACAACCAGCTGCAAACCATTACATCCACCACAGGTGTGATGGCTGCATCCAGCTTACTCTGGACTTTGGGGCATAAATAGAAACACAGTACCCAAGGGCTGTCTGGAAGGGTGTTGGCATGCATATATGACTACAAGCTAATCACCTTACTCCATAAGTAGTAGACAGTCCAGCACCTGCTAAGCTATCTTGCACAGCAACGACTGCACACCAGGATCTCCCCTTGAGTAGGGACATCTCTCAAGGTTACTCCTCGAGACACAATACATTCTCAGTAACTTATTACAGCATGATAATCTTTAAAATTTTAGCTAAGTGATACAAAGGATTGATTCTGCATGTGTACTCCTTTAGAGAGAAAACACTGATCGAGTCTGGGACCAAGTATAGATCCACCTGCACCGAGGCTTCTCTATGAGAACAAATTTAGAAGTCAAGTGGGTTGTTTCTGAGTATTGTGACTCAAAGAGAGGATCTCCCTGAGAGTTTGATTTGACTCTGTTATCTATTCAGTAAATAAACAAGTGTACCTGGCCATGAAATCTTATTAAACCGCGGTAATATTTACCATTGCATTTTATAATAACTTTATTAATAAAGTATATTGTGGCATCTTTCTTAAGGGTGAAGTGCATTGTTTCTTCCATGACAATGACAAGTAAGAGAAAGGATATTAACAGAAGCCAGAAAGACTTCTTCAGGTAGAAGAGGAATTAGCAGATAGAGGGAAACAAAAGTCTTGTTACTAAAGACTAAAGAAGAATTACAGCAAATGATTCAGTGTTTATGTAACTCAGCTAGTAGGATATACTACTGCAGTCTCTAATTCCAGAATAACTAGGTGCAGTACCAGAGTATACAACAGAGTACATGCAGAACTCGTGAAAGTATCCATCTACCTGGTTGTTTTCTAATCTCTCAGTGTGCTACCCGCTGTAAAACAAAAAGAGGGCAGAACAGATGAGATAATTTCATAATTTAAAAGAGTAAATACATAAAATAAAAACCAAGAAATAGAAAGAAAACCTAAAGAAATTAGCAAGGACCCAGAGCACTTAACTTGCAAACATAATTTTCTTTTATTTGTAGATCATCTTACGAAACAATCATAGAGAAAAAAGAATGGCATTAAAATGCAGTAGGGAAAAGTACAGGCCTTTGATTAGTATTCCACCTTTTCATAGCAGCAGAAAAATACATAAAATACCACTTTTTTGTATATTTGTTCTCCAGTTAGGCTGTGTTGTTGTGCACGCCACATACGTTCAAGGTGACATTTGGATTATTTAATAAATTAAACCTGCCTAAACTTGGTATTTACATTTTTTGAACCTTTTTTTTTTTTAGCAGGTTGTTTTGGAGAGAAGATATAAAATTTGTAGAAGAATTGTATTTTTTGTTTAAAGTTGTGCTTCAGATAGCACTGATGTTCTGGTCTGGTTAACATTATAATGAACAACTACCTACATAAAATGAAAGATGAGGGTCATAAAGAGTCAATTATTTTTTTTAGCTTTGCAGATCATGTAGCTCTCTTTTCCACTTATGATTTAATTAGTTGTCCAGCTAAAGTGCAAGGTGATTTGTACACTGAAGTATAAATTTTCCATATAAACTTTGATTTGGTAAGTACTGAGAGCACTTAAGTTTAAAATAGGTGTTTTGCAAAAGTTCACAGTAATATTTTTATTGTCTATTATCTTTGAAGAGATAGTGAATCATGTTCCAAACAACTTAGGTAATAGTTTTTGTGTGATCACAGCTTTTCAAACAAAAGGCTCAAATGTCAGAATAAATTAAAGATGACATTTGACTGATGAAGCGCAAGGAGAGGGGCTTGAGCTTAAAGTTTCTGCAAGGTCTGCAAGGTCGAGGAAAGTGGAATCTGACAGCCAGTTAGAAAAAAATGGGTTCCAAATGGATGCACTATTACCCTCAAAGCACTAACAAACCCCTATGAGAATGGACAAGTCTTTCTGGAGTGATCAAGAGAGTAAAGCAGCTTCTATCATTTCTGTAATACCAGATCCTTATTGTTAAAATATAGAAGAACTTAAGTATGGATGAGTAAGGAAAAAAAAATGGTGATTAATTAAATTGGCCTCGTTATAGGAATCCACCTTGCAGCTCAACATTATTTAAATATATCGAACAGTATTCGGTGCTGTGGACATGCAGTTCAATCTTATTGGAACTTACACTGAGAACAGCCACGTACAGTGCAATGTCAATCTTTTTTCTCCTTTGTCTTATTATATTCTAACAGGCAAAAAGATTTATGAGTTCACATGATGTGATATTCTGTCAGTTGAGACTGCAAAACTATCTTTTTCTTATATGGTGAGAAACAGAAGTAAATAAAGAATAGCGGACAGAAGCAATTATGTAAAACTCTGAGCAGTATTCCCTAAAGAGAAAAATACGTACATTTTCCTGTCTAGTTCCATTACGTGTATTCATTTCAAAACTAGACAGTTTCCAATACAAACAGAGCAAATTCAATTTTGTTCGAACTACATTCTCTTCTAACACTTCATGTGCCAAGTGAGAAAAGCAACACAAAACCTCTAACAAATTAAACATCTCTTTTAAGAACAGTGTAAATGCTGTTAATTTACTTTCAGTAATGGGAGTTTTTCTGATTCACTGCATGACTGCATTTGGGTGTTGCAAAAAATAAGCTGTTTGTTTCAACCTTAAATCTTGTTTGTATACAAAAAGATTTTGGCAAACTCATGAATGTCAAATAACGCATGGTAAATATAGTCTTTGTTAATTGCTTTTACAAAGATTTATGTAGGCTTCAATTAAAAAGGGAAAAGATAGTAGTAGATGATTCCATCATACCCATCTCTGCTGAGATTAAGCAAAATGGTCATTTTATTCATCTTATGGGATCAACTGAAGAACAAAAAGCTGGAACATACATATATATATATATATATATACGCTCACACACTTTTAACCTATTTAATACACATGAATGGTGGATGCATCCCTGCTTTGATGATGAGCTATGTAATATATTTACTGACCAGAGCAGAGAAAGCACTGACTGCTTTAAGGAAAACTTATATAAAGCATTAGAATTTTCTTTACATATATATATATTGAAATTTAGGATTTGATAAAGAGCAAAATACTTGGAGAAAACATCAGATGAGAGGGTACAGTTGCAAGGAACAGGGAGAAAGGTAGTATGACAGGATGACAGTAGAGAAAAAGTGCCAGGTCATGCACTTAGAGTTTGATATGGAGCTTTTTTGTTATAAACTAAGATTTTCTGCTACAACCAAGGGAAGGGAAAGATCAGGAGTGTTAAGTACCCAATATGGGTGAATATGAGCTATCAGTAAAATATGGTACTGAAAATTTGAAATGATCCTGGTCCTGAAGTATATTAGAAGTATATGGGCATGGATAGTGGTATTAAATGTGAAAAATACAACATATTGCTATTACCGTAAAATGAACTTTGATCAATTTTGATAAACTGGGTTCAAGAGGATGGATTTAAATAGGAAGTGAGGAAGAGACAACTGCTCTCTGCATGTGGAGAACAGAGGATTCAGTTTATGGAATGAAATGAAGAAAATTAAATTTTTTCATCTTAGCACAAAAAAGTTAAGAGGGAATACTCTTCTACCTAAACACAGCAGAATATAGCTACTAGAAAGGAAAGAAACTATACAAGAACCTAGTGGCACAGAAAACAGTTGTGGAGCAGTCTGCCTGTATAAGTGACAGAGGTGGAAGAGTGGTCTAGCTCTAACATGGAAGAATGGTTTGATTATTAAGTTCTTAAGTTTATTAAGTGAATTGTAGGGTTTTTCTGTAATTGTATGTTTTTCTGTAATATGAAAGGACAGAACGCTGTGATCTGATCCTATCTTCAAATGCTTCTAGGATTCCTATATTACCTGCAAAGAGTATGCTAAGTAGGGTTGTGCTGGAGTCTATATCCATTAGATAGATGCAAAGAAACTAACAAATGTATACAACCTGATACTTTGCAAGCAAAGGGAGAGTATTTCTTTTGCTATCTCTATCCTCTAATAGGTAAGAGAATAAACAAGGACACCCTGTGAAAGTATGATATTAATCCTTGAGGCAATAAGGTTGCAGGGATACATCAGTCAAAGAAATGATCCTTGCAGAGGGTCAGGTCAAGGCTGCAATTAACAACGTAAGGTTGTGGAGTATAAGAATACTCACATAAGTATAAAAATACTAACATATTTATAGGTGTATTTATGTATATATACTGTTCTAACCTTCAGGCATTTGTTCCCTGGGTGCTCCCTAAAGCAGATATAGTTTCTAAGCACTGAGTAATTTTGATTGGATTTTTTGTTCATAAACTTATTCAGGATCCTTTTAAACTCCGTGAAGACTGCAACATTGATAACATCCTTCTTCAATGATTTCCATGACTGACTTAAAGTTTGTGGTAAAGATTACTACTTTTCCTTTATTCTGAACTTGCTAATTTATAACTTCATTTATTTCTACCTAATTTTTCTACTAAAAGAGGAAAAAGCAATGAAAACCTGTACACTTTTCTCCCCATCTCTCATTATATCTATATATATTTCCAAGATTCATCTCAGTTATTTCTTTTCCAAACTGAAGTGTTCTTTCCATAATTCTCTCTTGCATAGAAGTCTCTTGCCCTGATCATTAATCAATATCCTTCCTCTGATTCCGGGGAAACTGTCACACGTGGCTCCTATACTGACGTTCAAAGATACGGTCCATAAACTGTCTTGAACATGACTCTACAGAAAAACAGTAGAATCATATCTTGAAGCTTGAGGACAATGCAAATTTTTGAGGACTTTTTATTTTGTAGACTTCAATAAAATCTCTTAAATATAGAGCAAAGATTTGACATCGTACTCTAGAATCAATATCTTCAGAAAATAATGGGTTCTTCATAAGGAGTTTTCTCTTCCATACTTTCTTTTCCAGCATTTTCCATACTGTAAAGGAAGGCTACTCAGACCTTTAGAATAAAGACAGAAGCATTTTTTTCTGAATCTGGACATTTATCCAAATTAAGTGACAACATATCATAATGACCCAACCAGAACACAGCTCTAACAGTGTTTTGTTACATCAAGACATTCACTTCTTAATCCTCTCAACTTGCCTGCTAAAACCTGTTGTAGTATATTCAACATAAGGACACCATTAGAAAGTGTCCAGGTGGTCCTGGACACCATCAAAACCAATAGTGAAATGCAATGTGTCACTAATAACCACAAGCACGCAATTCATGAAATCATCCCATGATCCTTCTTCCGAGAAAGGTCAATATAGAGAGTTGGTTAGAAAATGGGGTACTTTCACACCTAGCCCAGAGAATACATATCTATGTTGAAATATTTAATAGATGGTTTCAGATTTTTTCAGTTTGTAAAGGTATTTGGCAAGTATAAGCCATGAATGAATTACCTCCTTGTATTTATTATTTATGTGTTATCAATTAAGTAATAAACTCATAAATATATCTGGTGAATTTGTATCCAAATTCCAATCTCAGATAATGTGCTATTTCAGCAGATCTTTTAGACAAATAGATACTGAATAAGACTTAATCTCCAGTAGAAACAGCAGATTTCAGTGACTGACAGCTAGCAGTGAAGCATTGTGTTATAACCCATAGAGTGATGAGCTTAGTGGGATTTGAAATAGCTCAATATACTATTTGTTATGAAGATTCATTATTATTTTAGCAATGAATATGCTGTGTCCCATATCAAAAGAACCCTCAATGATATGAATAGAAGAAAGCTCACCATACCGATACACAGATATATAAATGTATACAAATTTTGTAATTTTTTTAGCACTTCTCAAAAACACCCTTCAAGTCACAGACTTGAAGTTCTCCACCTCACCAAAGAACATATCTCTGAACTGTAGTCAGT